TTTTTTTTAAAATGATAATGACAGTTAAGAGATACAAATTATTGTGATATAGTATATGTGGTTTACTGGTACTGTTGGTTTAACGCAATATGTTATCTTTTATCTTTATCTCATCACATTTATTATGAATACAATATTATTATATACTTATTAAGTTATAAATAGCAAGGCCATAATAAATAATAATAATTTTCAATACCTTTGTGACTATAAAAGTTATATACAATTCTAGTATGTTCAATTTTATTTTATTTTTTAATTACTTATTAATAAATAATAGACAAAAATGTTTATTTTTTAACAACACTTACAAAGAAAATGTTAGAGAATGGCAATTCATATATCTAAATGCCTAAAAGTGCCAGAATCAATTATGAACATAGTATCAAAAAAAAAAAAGGGGGGGGAGTAGGTATTCCTAGAATAAATTTCTAGTTAAAAGCTTTAGTATTTAACAATGTGTTGTTGAAATTAGTTATATAATCTTTAATATTTTAATGAATATTGACTCTGAAAATGTGCAAGTGTCAAACAAATTACATCTCCAACAAAATAAATAAATAAAAGCTGTGGCTTTAGAAAAACGGGAAACTGTTAAAAATAATACTACTTCTACAATGGAAAAATGGAAAATAGAAAGCTAATATTGTTTATGGATAACATGAAAAAAAAATGAACAAGTATGTAATGCTAATTTTTAAATTAATATATAATAATTCACTGATAGTAACGTTTGTGCCTACCTACTCCAATATAATTACTTATTATCAATTAAATACATAATTTCTAGTAAAAATAATTATGTATACCTATATACTATTAAATTCTAAATTTATTATATTTTTATTAATCTAGCTAAATACTTAAATCCCATAATGTATTTTATAAGTAGGATACTCAGCTATAAAATGAATAATGTTTGCTAATTAACAGACATATTTTAATATTTAATTAATTATTCATTCCAAAATGTTACATTATGCATTCAACTAAATTAAATACTTATATAATGCCATAATGAATTAAAAATTAAACTAAAGCTATTGGAAATATTAATTTATTAAAAATCAAAATAATACAACTTTTATTATAATATCAAATATGAATAAATAACATGTATTTATTTTTTTTTTAGTTTTTAAGTTATTAATGAAATCATTAACATAATATTGAATTTTGTACTTATATTATGTTTACAGGAATGTTTATGGAAACTTTTAGGCACTGCTTTATTTTACAATTCCACACCTTTGTCTATAGTAGAAAATAACCACTGGATACAGTTTTTTAAAGCATTAAGACCAAGTTTTTAACTTCCTACATGTTTTATATTATCTCATAAATTATTAGACTATGAATATAATCTAATAAATTTAGTTGTTCGAAAAAAAAATAATGATGCTTATGTTTATGGAGTTCAAATTGATGGATGGAATAATATTAGATAGTAATGATTTAATTATAGAACTCAAGTTATTATATTATCTTTAATATAGTTTATTTTATAGTTATTTATAATTATTCATTATATAAAAAATTGTTATAAAGAGCTATGAAGAACAATAAAACATTTTACTTTAATATTATTATATAAGGATGACAGCTTCAAATCTCAGATAGTGAACACTGATTGTGATATTTTACTGAGATTTAAGTAATTTAATTAATTGATAAAATATGTTTTAGGAATTTTAAATGTAATTTTAACCACACCTGAACCAGTAGTTTTTAAATCCATTAGCACAACAACGGAACGTCATATTATACTGCAGAATATGTTGTCAAAGAAATTAGTCAAGTAATGAACGAATTAGGATAAAAAAACGTTGTTTAGCAGTTGTTACTGACAATGCAACTGCAATGAAAAAGTCTTGGAGTATTCTACAAAATGATTCTAAATATAAATATTTACCAATAGCCTATTATGCATGTATTTGTCATACACTAAATTTACAACATACTTAAAATAAAAAGTTGTATAAGCATTGTAGGAGATGTTAAAAGGATTGTTAAAGGTATTAATAATGTTCATATACTAAGGCAACATTATTAAATATTCAAAAATCTACAAGTAAAATTATTTCATTAAAAATGCCAGTAAAAACACGTTGAGTCTCATTAGTTTCATGCTTACAAAGTTTATTACAAATCAAACATCTCTTTATAAGTTAGCCTGATCTGAAGATGATATTATTGATAAACTATGAGATTTAAAACTTTTGATTCTCGATTTTTCATTTTGGAATAAAATTGGTCAAATTTTAAATATTGTTAAACCCATAACAAAATGTATAACAAGATTAGAAGCTGATAAACCATATATAAATTATGTATTTTATGCACTGCTTGATATACAATCAATTATGATTAACAAACTACTTGAAATAAACTTTTTGTCTAAAGAAGAAGAAAAATCAATTTTATTATTTGTTGACAATTCCTATACACTATGCTACTTGACCCAAGGTACCAAGGAAGACAATTGGAATCAAACAATGATATTGAAGGAGTTAAGTATATATTTTTTGTTTCTAAACTATTGATCGTTGAAGAAACACAAAATGTAATGAGTGAATTGGTTCAATATAGAACACATAAAGGGTTATGGAGTAAACAATTTAAGTAGTCACTAGATATGAAAAATATGAACCCTTCCATTTGGTAGAATGGAATTTGTGGAAGTAGTAAGTTAAGTAAAATTGCATCAGCAATATTATCTCTATCTTATTCATCTGCCACTATCGAAAAATATATGTTCACTCATCCATACAAAAAAAAGGAATAAGTTAACTAATGAGCAGGTTGGAAGTTATCATACATTAATCAGAACTTATATTTTAATTTACCATCTACGGTGGATATTGCGAATTGGTTGCAGCTAGAAATATTTTCCCATTTTTATTTCAAATTTATTATAATCATAATCTTTATGCTAAATTTGGTGTAGATACATTCCCAGTAAAAAGATTGCGTCTAACTGGAAATATTAATAGTGGTCATTTTGATGTTTATTTATCTATTCCTAATATTCATAATGTTGCAGTAAATTTAAATACTACTTCAGAGGGCGATTTATCTATTTTTAATAATGTTAGTGTCACAGAAAATAATAATAAAAATACAATTAATAAAAAAAGTAAGAAGCGTCGCCGTGCTAGATATACACATAAAACTCGAATCAACCAAGTTAAGAAAGCTATAACAAAGTACAAAGTAATCAAACACCAAGAAACTTTAGGGTTTCCGACTAAAATTAATTTACGCAAATGGAAAATTAAGAAATTATCTGGTCTAGCATATAATCCCACTATTGATTATAAAAAAAAAACATTGGTACTATGAACCAAAAATGTAATTTTTGTAACGCTCTCAAGTGGAAAGGCGAAACTCCTGGTATGTGCTGTAATATAGGTAAAACACAACTCGATCCCTTACAGCCGCCCCCAGAACCATTACGCAGTTTACTTGAGGGAGACCATCCTGATCATGATCACTTCATTAATCGTACTAGGAAATATAATAGTTGTTTTCAAATGACTTCGTTTGGTGCTAAACAGATTGTTGAAGAAGGTTATATGCCAACATTTAAAGTGCAAGGCCAAGTCTACCATTTGTACGGCAGTTTGATTCCAAATACTCAGGAAAACCCACAATTTTTACAAATATATTTTGTTGGCGAAGATGAAAAAGAAGTTCAACTTAGATGCTCTCTTTATCCAGAAGTTAAACAAGCATTAGTCAAACAGCTACAAAATATGCTGCATACTGAAAATAAGTATATTCGAGAGTTAAAAACCACAATAGATAATGCAAGTCAAAATAATACTAATTTTCAGGTGGTTATTCACGCTGATAGAAAACCTGCTAATGGACACAAAGGCTGTTATAATGCTGCAACATGTAATGAAGTAGCTTTAGTTATAGTTGGGCAGCAGTTTGAAAAACGTGATATTATTATTCAAAGCCACGATAATCGATTACAACGGATAAGTGAATTACACAGATCCTACGACGCACTTCAATACCCTCTAATGTTTTGTTATGGAGAAGATGGATACTCAATAGATATTTCTCAGAAGGATGCAACTACAAAATTAATTACAGATAAAACTGTATCTGCTGCCAATTTTTATTCATATAAAATTATGGTAAGGAAAGAACAAGATAATCATTTGCTTCGTTATGGTCCATTGTTCAACCAATATTTAGTAGATATGTACGCAAAAATAGAGACTGAAAGATTAAATCTCATTAGAAATCATCAAAATAAGCTTAGAGCAGATAAATATATTCATTTAAAAGATACCGTTGGAAGACAAGATGTTGACGCAGATCAACTTGGAAAATTAGTTGTATTGCCATCATCTTTTACAGGAGGCCCACGATATATGCATGAACGAGCCCAAGATACACTGACGTACGTTCGACACTATGGCAGCTCAGATTTATTCGTAACTTTTACGTGTAATCCAAAATGGCAAGAAATCCAAGAAGCACTTTTACGAGGACAAAAACATTACCATCGCCCAGACATCATTGCAAGAGTATTTAATCGAAAAGTTAAGGAGTTAATAGATCTGTTGACAAAAGGAGATTTGTTTGGGAAAGTGAGGTGCCATATATATTCAGTTGAATGGCAGAAACGAGGCCTACCTCACGTACACATATTACTATGGTTGGAGAATCAAATTACATCAGATATGATAGATAAATTCGTGTGTGCTGAGATTCCGAATCCAGATGTAGATCCTTTACTGTACGAGATAGTAAAGGCTAACATGATACATGGACCATGTGGACTTTTGAACAAAAATTCTCCGTGCATGAAAGGAGGTGTTTGCAGCAAACGTTATCCAGTTACGCTCATTCAAGAAACTCAAAGAGGTGAAGATGGCTATCCAAAATATAGAAGGCGATCAACAAACGATGGTGGTTTCAAAGTGAGTATTAAGTCAATTGACCTAGATAACAGGTGGGTTATTCCATATAACCCTGTGTTATTGCGTACTTTTAGTGCTCATATAAATGTAGAAATAACCAGTTCAATCAAGTCTATAAAATATGTATGCAAATATGTCACAAAAGGTAGTGATCACGCAGCGTTTGGTTTAGGAAAATCTGACCATACAGATGAAATAAAAATATATGAAAGTGGCAGGTATATCAGTAGTTCCGAAGCAGCTTGGAAAATTTTAGGTTTTTATATACACGATAGGTATCCAGCTATTATTCATCTTGATGTTCACCTAGAAAATGGACAACGTGTCTACTTCACAGCAAATAATGTTGCCGAAAGAATAGAAAATCCACCAACAACAACTCTTCAGGCTTTTTTCCAGATATGTCAAACCGATAATTTTGCAAGAACATTGCTTTATCCACAAGTTGCTTCGTATTATGTGTGGAAAAATAAGAATTTTGTTAGACGTAAACAAGGCCAGAATGTCGAAGGTTGGACAGGAGTTAAGAAAGATACAGCTTTGGGTAGAGTTTATACAATCCACCCAAACAATGTTGAATGTTACCATCTTCGTCTTCTTCTTCATTACGTAAAAGGTCCAACATCGTATTCATTTTTGAAGATTGTGAACAATATCGAGTATCCGACATTCCAGGCCACATGTAAAGCACTTGGATTATTAGAAGATGACAATCAGTGGGATTTTGCTTTAGAAGAAGCAGCATTATGTCGTTAACCTAATAAAATGCGAGAACTTTTCAGTGTAATATTAATATTTTGCCATCCCTCAGATGCTTCAAGTCTTTGGACTAAGTATAAGGACGATTTTTCAGACGATATTCGGCGACAATATTATAGACAACATCTAGAAAATAATATAACAGACAGTGAACTTTATAATAAGTGTTTGGTATTAATTGAAGACTTTGTTTTGAATCTAGGTGGAAATAACTTAAAAGAATATGGTTTGCCAACTCCTACAAGATCTGGTGGACTTTTAGAAAATAGAGAATATTTAAAAGAAACAAGCTATGATTTAAATGCTTTACAGGAAATTGTTTTGCAGAATGAACCCTCTTTGACTGAGGAACAGAGGATTGTTTACAAACAAACTTTAAATAGTATCAAATTAAATTTAGGAAAATGTATATTTTTAGACGCTCCTGGTGGAACTGGTAAAACCCACTTAATCAATATACTTTTGGCTAAAGTAAGAAGCTCATATGGGATTGCAATTGCAGCTGCATCATCAGGAATTGCTGCTACGCTTTTACATGGAGGAAAAACTGCTCATTCTGCTTTCAAGTTGCCACTCAATCTGAACACCATCGAGATTCCAACGTGCAATATTAATAAACAATCTAATATTGCAAATGATCTGAAAAAATGCAAGCTCATAGTTTGGGATGAAAGTCCAATGTCTCATAAGAAAGGCTTTGAAGCTTTAAACAACTGTCTGAAGGATCTAAGAAATTCAAATTTATTAATGGGAGGAGTCACAGTACTGCTAGCTGGAGACTTTCGACAAACTCTACCAATCGTACCCAGAGGAACTCGAGCTAATGAAATCGCAGCATGCATCAAGTCTTCATATTTGTGGCCTAAAATAGAAAAATTTTCTTTGACCAAAAATATGCGAGTACATTTAAAAGGAGACAAGACTGCTGAACAGTTTTCTGAGCTACTCTTAAAAATAAGAGAAGGAAAATATCCAGAATGTGAAGAAAAAATTACTTTGCCAACAGGATTAGGTACTGTTGTTAATACTTTACAAGAACTTACATACAAAATATATCCTGGCATCGAAAACCTCAAAGAAATATCAATAGACTGGTTATGTGAGAGGGCCATTTTGACATCAAAAAATGATACAGCAGGAGAAATAAACAAAATATTATTGGGCTCTTTTCAAGCAAAAAAAATGGAATACAGATCGGTGAATTCGGTGCTGGAAATAGATGATGCAGTTAATTATCCCGTAGAATTTCTCAATTCACTCAACCCTCCTGGATTCCTACCACATTTATTAACATTAAAAATTGGTACTCCTATAATGCTTCTAAGAAATCTTAGCCCACCAAAATTGTGCAATGGGACTCGTCTACGTATTACTGATCTTCAAAAAAATCTGATAGAAGCTCAAATTATGACTGGATTTACAAAAGGTGAATCAGTTTTTATTCCTCGCATACCAATGATACCATCAGATTATCCATTCCAATTTAAGAGAATGCAGTTTCCTGTCAAAGTATGTTTTGCTATGACAATAAATAAATCACAAGGACAAACCTTGAAAATTGCAGGGATCGATGTAAGAGAAGATTGTTTTTCACATGGGCAATTTTATGTGGCATGCTCCAGAGTCAGTATGCCCACAAATTTAGTTATTTTGGCACCAACAGGAAAAACATCAAATGTAGTTTATAGAGAAATTTTGTAATAAGATTGTTGTCATACATTATTATTTTTTATTATATACCTATTAAATTTTAATAAATTATTATTATTATTTATTATATACCTATTAATATTATTATTATTATTTATTATATAACTATTAAAATTAATCGTCTGTCTTGGTCTGCGGCCGTCCGGTTAAAGTTGGGCTGTAGACATTTTTTATACTTAAACCCGGCAACGACGGGTAATTCAGCTAGTACTTGTATAATCAAATAAATTTTTAAGAGATTTGTGAATGTTGCTATGACAGTACAGCAAGCCCATACTCTGATCTATTTCAAAACCATGTTTTAATTTTGTATGACGCAAGAAATCATTTACTGTAAGAAATAAGTTAATATATTTTCTTAAAATAAAAAAATAATAATTATTATTAATACATTCAACTTCTGGATTCAATCTATCTGATGACCAAAGTATTATGGCATCTCAATTCACCTTAGGCTTTTTTTCTACAAATAATAAAATTGTGGTATTAAATAACTATAGTAATATTGATTTAGTATGCATGAAAATAACAATATTCATGGAAGCCAGAACATACCTGAATGTGACAAGACCTCTGGAACAATAGTTATCATGAAATTAACTTGAATTATATATATTAATTATATTATGTATATTAATGATATAACTTATAAAAAATTCCGTGGTTCTGTGCTAGATACAAGTATACTACGGCCAACAAAAAAAAAAAACAAAAGATTTTGGGAGTGGGAATCACGTACCCCAGTACCCCCCTCCCATATTGCTACGACACTGATAAAATTACACCACGCATATGGCATTTTATTTAATAAGTAAGTACTATGGGTGTCCATTAGGGAGTGAAAGAGAGTGATATTTACTTATTCAATAATACCTATAACATAAAATTAATTGTATAATATAAACCAGCGGTTCTCAAACTTTTTATTTCGCGTACCACTTAAGTATATTATCAATCAGTCGCGTACCACTGAAGATTAAAAATCCTACCACCATGCGGCCTTCCGCAGTTCCGCGTACCATCATGTAGTCTTTCGCGTACCACAGTTTGAGAACCTCTGATATAAACAATTAATTTTTTATTTCAACTTTAAATAACTAGTGATTGACTAATAATTATAAATACGTTAATGGTTTTTATCTATACATTTTAACCGATATTTAAATGTTGAATGTCTTAAATATTGAATATAGTTAACTCCTTTTCACAGGTTTGGTTAGGTTTAGGCAGGGCGTAAAGTGGAAAAAAATTCTAGGGAGAACTAATGTTCTCATATATTTTTAAGCATTCTACATAGCGTGGGTCTGCAACCTGCGGCTTACTATTTCAATAATTTATAATTTGTATACAAATATGGATTATCACATTATTTTAGTTGATAATCTAACGTTGTTAATTTATACCACGTTAAATTAATATAAATATACCAAACAGTAATGAAATTTAAATAAATTAAGTTAAACTTTGTTTAAAATTTAAACTGTAAAATGTAAATAAATTAAGGTGTATGGCCTGTGAAATTTTATTTTTTATTTTTTGACCTTTGTCATCATAAAGGTTGCCGATCTCTTCTATGTTATGTATTTTATGTTTAATGTCTAATGCATTATTAGTTTATGTAATGAATGAAACAATAGTTATGTAACACTCATTCCACTTATAACCCTAAATAATATTCAATTCGTCATTTATTTCATGAAAAATTTAAATCACAAAAAATACTTTTTTTAAGATTAACTAATATTTTATAGAAATTTAATATTTTGAAAAAAAAATATTTTTCCTGATAATATTAAATTGTAAGAAGTGGTTGTCTTTTAAGGAAACTAAAGAAATCAGCCAAAAAAAAATATTTGTATCATAAAAATATATTGTTTTTAGTGCTTTAAATTATACAAAAAAATTCAAATTATTTGCATGGTTAGTTGAGCATGCTTAAAAAAGTAACCTATATATACATACATGAATATTTAAAGCTCAATTTTACATAACATCATTATGTTATCAGCTAATCGAATATCTATCAATCACAGTATAGCCATTTACAAAACTAATAAAATCAATTATTTTTATGCATAAATAATATAAAAAAATACATTTGAAAAAGTAAAGTTACAATTATTAATTAAAAAACTAAGATTTTATCTTAATGGAATTTTCAGTTATATTGATTAATGTTTGGTTCTAATTGGAGAGTTTCGACGTACCTCACAAATAATTGGTCAAGGTGGACATGTTATTTAACCACCATTACAGGTAGAGGTATTGAGTCTCCCTCCGTGACCTTCACTTTAGCTCCTGTGTTTTGGTTAGTCTCCTTCCAAATAAAATATTTTAAGCATTTTATTTTATCAAAGTTGAAAGTATATGTAGTACTAAGTGCATTATAAGTATTGCAATAAAAAACAATAAACGCATATCGGGGACTATATCGAGTAATACGATTCTAAAACTAAATTGCCAAGTATCTCATGGAAGTCATCTGATCTCTCGTAAGCTAAATCTTTTCATTCCTGGTCGTAATCATGTGGCACAAGTTCAATTATTATTAGATAATCAACAAAACTTAAACTTAAGTTATACTTTTTTAATCTGATTCTCAATATGTAAAATCTAGACAAAAATTTTAGCAAGCTCTAAAACTTACTAACAGATACATAAACTAAACATTCGAAAAGCTAATAATATAAATTTGTTTTTAAAATCTGAGTATTTTCAAAACTTTTTAGAAATATAATTTGATATTAGCGTGAAAGTTCAAATTGAAATCATATAAAACCCGATAACAATATTACCTAACTCCTACTTTTACAGGATATTAAAAATGTAAAATGTAATTAGATGTTATATTTATCTTACAGGTTAGGGAAAAAATTTTATGACCTCATAGTTATGGATTTGATGTCGACGACCCTCGGTAGGTCATGTTATAATACGAGTATACCTAAATATAATTCATACTATATAATGCGCGCGCACACGTGCGGTTCAAGAAGAACGAGTGAACGGTGCGTACACTCTATTATATTTATTATTTAGTATACCTTTTGTGTGTGTGCCCGTGTGCCCGTGTGTGTGGATGTGACAGAATCACTTTCAGTAGGATTATTTCGTCTTGTTGCAATTTGTCATTCAACTGCTTTTGTTTTTAGTATTTTCGCTATTTTTTCGTACCTACAGGGCTACAGGTATGTGAAATTTTTCTTTTGATTTTTATTATGATATAATGTGATAACGTCGGCGTTTTAATTATCGTACTTCAATTGTGCGTAATATATTTATATATATTCTAAATAGCGTCTATGTTCATTAACAATAGTTCCGAATTTTTATCATAGCTATGAGCAGATGAGATCGATCGTAAATTAAACGAAACAATATTATATTGTATACTATGAACCTTATTGTATACATATTAAATAATATAAAACTGCCGTTTGATTCAATTACGTCTTTATTTCAAACGTTTTGTCGATTCCCGTTTGGATTTGAAGGTATAAACACTTTTTATTTTATTTAGCAACAAAACGATGGAAAAAAATTAATAATATATAAGCATTTACAAATATGTATACCTACCAAGGTATATAGGTGTTAAGTTTTAGATATTTGCAACAACATTCAGTCTACACATAAAGCGAAATTATGTAAATATAGTTAAATGATTTGTGTTTGTAATTCGTTAAAAAAAAGTTTTGTTCTACAACGATGTGGTTTTTTTATTTTAAGTTTTTAATATGTACTATAGATAGTATATTTTTAATATCATCGTAAGTAGCACTTTACACATCCTATTAACAATGGCGGCCATATTTCAAAATGAATGTTCATCAAACCATAATATTAAAACTGTACCAACTACCAACCCTCTTATATTAATAGCTGTTGGTTTACGTGTTGCATATAAGTATAATGCATTTACAGTTTATTTACTACTATACAACTTAAAACGAATGAAATCTAAATGTTTACTCGTTCGTATGTAATACATGTGTTTGACTTAACTACATTATAATATATGCATCCACAAAGTTTAGCTTGACCTGGGATAACCGTCATTGTGTCCTCATCACATTTAAACCTCTATATCTATAATTATTTATATTGTTTCTTTTTTATAAATTTTACTGATTAAATTGACATCTTAATATAAAATATTAGAATTTTTACTTACTTTACTTAATTATATAACACAAAATGTTTAATAAATAAATTATTATAGAGTCAAAAATTATATCTTTACAACTTTTCGTCAGTTGCGTAATTTTAGTTTTATCAGATTATAGAGCGAACTTAATACTTAATACTTATCATAGAACCGACTAATAAATATATAATACCTAAATTTTTAGCAAACACTTAAATATGAAAATATATTAATTTAAAATATTAATAAGACTAGGCAGATTGCAAATTTATGATGAAAATATTGTATAAAGAGTTAGCTTTTATAAACATTTTATCAAATAATAATTAAAGCATTTTTCTATATTTTAACTTTGCTATACTCTAACAATACCCTTATTTTAAAATGTTAATGTTATTTTCTGTTCTATAATTTTTGTAATCTTATGTTTATATACCTATGATATTATATTTGTCAATTGTTGTTCGAACGCGAAAATTACCCGCTTATTAGCTTTTGCTGGGACTCTACAAATGTGACGGCTAGATAAGATAAGTCTCCCGTACAGAGACCAGACCGAATCGTGTCGCCGACAAGCTTGACATTTTTATTCTGAGTCTTGTCGGCCGACACGAGCTCGCGGTCTGAATGCTCTCAGACGTAGGAACTGTATCACAACCGTCACATTTGTAGGTCAAAAGCTTAATAAGCAGTGTGGTGTTCCGCGTTCGAACAACAATTGATAAATATAATATCATAGGTATATAAACATAAGATTACAAAAATTATAGGAACAGAAAATAAACATTAACATTTTAAAATAAGGGTATTGTTAGAGTATAGCAAAAGTTAAAATATAAGAAAT